TAAGAGATTAGTTTTTTTGCCTGGTGGAGAATTCAGAAACTCTTCAAACACAGAGCCCAGCCCTGTTCTGCTACAGGTGACAGAGGCTGAACTCATGGAGGGTGAGGGAGCAGTCCCAACATCATTTCTGTTTGAATGTGCAGCCTCCAAGAAAAACCACTGCTCCTCACTTCCTCCACAAGGACAATCATTGTGTCTCCCTGAACTCGTATCAAACCAGAGGAATTGAAAGAAAGACACCAGGATGAAGCATCTGCAAAGACTCCAGAGAACAAAAAAGTCTTACTTTACTCCCAGCCACTCATGATGTCATGCACAAGCACTGAAGTTGTTGGTGATGTCCTGCAAACATAAGAATCTCTGGTGCCTTTCCTTTCTTCTCCATCTCCATTCTTAAGTTACAGCTACAGCTCTGAATGCAAAGGAGCTTTTCCCATTTACATACATGCCTGAGACACAAGCCATATCCTCCATCCAGCATTGCCCAAATGACTGATACACATCCAAGACACTTAGGATGTGGGATATGTATGAGATTTACTTGTTTTCTTAAAGTTTATGCATTCCTTTTGACTTACATCTTCAGTGAATTCTACTATTTCTTCCAAGGAAATAAATGTTTAGCATTCCCAGTTCACTTGGAACATGCAACCTATTTTCCCAAAGCTGCCCACTTGCATTGATCCAAACAGCATATTTGAACCCTCAAACTATTTTTCACCAAAAAAAGGAATTTGTCAAGAGCTCAACATTTACAACAAACAGGATCCCTTCTGATGATCTGGGCTTCTAAACATTAACAGTGTCTCAGGAGAGCCTTACTTATTTTTAGCATGGCAAAAGCACATTACTTGCAGGTGTTGGATCTTAAAATAATAGTAATAATAATAATAATTAATAATAATAATAATGACAGCTTTAAAGGTGATGACAACTATAAAGGTTATAAAATTTATATATATATTTTTTATGTATTGTCATCAGGAAAACTTGTCAGCTTGTGGATTTTTATATTGTTTTCCTGAATCTCCTCACCATTTTTCAGATTTTTTCTTGTAATTCAATGTAGATTTGTTTTGAGAAATGACCAGGAGAAAAGGAACACAGCAGGAAGGAGCCAAGTTACTAGTAGTGTTAATATTTTTCTAAACCAAGAAAAAACATTTGGAGGAAGCATTTGGGAAAACAGAAAAACAAAAAGTCTTGTTTGGATTCCAGCACAATACCAATGGAATATGTGGTACCTTTCGTCTCCATTTCATCACCAGCTCTGTTGCTAAATGATCTCTAGACTGAGCAAAACAGAGGAAAGTTGGAGGCAGAAGATGCAGAATTTAGTCTCAATTGCTCCCGATTATCACACCAGTGGTCTGAAGCAAAATTAATTGTAAAGGTGTCTGCTGTGCAGACCAGAGACATAGTAGGGTGATGGCAGCAGGAAAGGATGTATTGGAGCTCTCTACAAATCATCGCTCCCAGAAAAATTTGCAGGAAGGAAATGACAAATGAGATTTCTTCCCCCTCTTTTGAATTTGGCTGAAATGAGTTTTCAAAGCACGGAGCTGGGAGGGAGAAGCAGTGGAGGATGAAGAGTTGGAGAAGAGGTTTAAGATGTTTGTGCCATAACAGTTCATAATAGTGGCAACAGATTCATTTGCAGTTTTGGGGGGTAACCTCAGATGGTTTCTAAAGATTGAGTCCCACGAGATCCTTGATGGCTTTAATGAATCAGTTCCATGGGTGAATACATAGAAGCACTAGAAGATTTCAGATGCACCGAGATATGCCAGAGATGATATTTTTTCAGATTTCTGGGGCAGCTGATGGTTCCCCAGATTGCTCACATGATAAAACAGCCATCCACCAGGGTCCCAATGCCAGTTTGAACCATGTTACCTGCGCAGCACCTTCAACCCTCTGCTTCTGTGGGGGTTCACAGTAGGGAATAAAGAACCAAAAGTAAATAATTTCATATTTTGTTATCCAGAAAGTATCAGTTTTTCTTTGCATTTGTCCATTGCAAGTGTGTGAGGGGGGGTATGTTTACAACATGGGGAAGGAGTACCGCCAGACACTTTTTCAAATTAATATTTTCTGGACAAAAATTGCTGTGCTATATTTAATGAAACTGTTCACGAGGGCTGAACTTTGCAAGTCATTCTGAACACATTAGAAAAGTAAAAGGACTTCCAGAGCAGTCATTCAGATCACTGTTTTTCCTCTCCTCATTGTTGCTTCTCCATAGTGTTCGTTTTAAAATCTACCCAAATTTATTTATTTTGTAAGACGAATTATTTTATTTTAATCAAGAGCACTTTGAGGGCTAAATGAAATCTTTATTTATTTTCTTGTCTGCAGAAAGAACTCAGAAGCAATAACATCTTGACCTAATCCAAATTTTGTGGAGCATTTTTTTCCTTTTTCTTTTGATCTTTAGAGAGAACTAAAAAAAAAAATAAAATAAACTATTTTTCATGGTGTAAGTTATCCTGCAACACAATGAGCCAAATGGCAGGGCTTACGCAGTTTTCATGAATAGGAAATCTAGTATTAATCTTCCTCTAATGTGACTCAGAGCAGAGATCATGCAATAATCTTCTTCCTCCTTTTTATCACGATGATGCCAAGGAATTCTAGTTCCTCTTCCCCCACTCCTAGTAAATGCTTTAGAAGATAGAGGGTGATTAGTCTGGTCCTTTTCATTAACAATAAATGAAAGATAAGGAATCGACTGTTAAATTATGAGCTTTTCTGATGTTTTTCATGTCCAAAAATGCCAGCAAACCAAATTGATCACTGTCATCTCTGACCCTGAAGGGCACCACACCAGCTAAAGGTTTTTAAAGCAAACCTGGATTCTTATTTAATCTTGTGAAAGCACATGCATTATAAAGGATAAATTACTGTTGGGGTGAAATATTGCTAAAGCACCAGCTTTGATATTAATGAAACACTCTGAGATCTTGACCATGCTTATCATTTCTTTGCTAGTGGAGCTCTTTTGCAGATAAGAGCAGGCTGTTCCATTTTATTTTGATTCTCATGTAATTTTTCTCTGTCAGGCACTTTATATGCCTCTGATAAACTCCTTTTTGTGGACTGCCATTGGTACAGAGCCCAGAGGCTCTGTGAAGTGGAGCTGGAGCAGATTCACCAGCAATTGGTTTTCACTTCAAATATGCTACTGTAGCCGGATTTTAACTGGTGGTTAATACAGCCCAACTGAAATGAGTACGCAAGCACTAGGTTAAATTTGGGGCATAGTCCTCCCAGACTCCTCAGGGATGGGAAACAGCCCACGTTGAACCACACGTCAGCATGGGAACATGCTCCCTCATGGGAATGGGAGCTTAGGAATAAAAGCTGCAGGAAAGGGGCGACCAACAAGCTGGAAGGATTTGGCTTCCTTCTACTTAAAGTAGTCTTGAACATGGGGTCATTTCCCACAGCTTTCTAGCAGCCTAAAGGTTGTCTTGGCCCTTCAAATGTGGGCAAGTGGTGGCATTGATTGTCCCATGCACACCTAATAAACCAGTGCTGCTCTCTCAGCTGTTTTGGAAGCCAGTGACAAACCCCACGGGGAGCAGACTCCCTCCTGACTCCTCTCAGCCCACCTGCTCAATAGGGCACTCTGCAGGATTGCCCAGGCCCTCTATTAGTGAAGAGAGAAGCAAAGTTTCTCATGATTTCCAAGTGATAGAAGACAAGTTCCAGCAAACTGCAAAATGAGAATTAAAGTACTTTAAATACTCATACACATACTCATCAATTTTTAGAAAAGTAGGTGTAAAAGTGAGAAAGGGCTTTTTTCTCGGTTTGTGCCTCTCCTTTTCCTTGCACTAAGCACATAAATCAGATTTCTGAAAGTAACTATCATATGCAGAAGGAAGAAGGAGACCTCCTGGGGGGAGACAGGGTTTCTCCTTCAAGTGTACATGTATTTTAGCTTTCTTCATGGAACAAAAGGTATAACAAAGATGATTTAAAGAAAAATCCACTAACAACCATCCCACCACTCCATTCCCAAAAAGTTAGGAAGTAGGACTTAGCCTTTCAAAGTGGTGCCACAGAGAGCTCCCAGGATATTCTCCACCTGCCCATTCTCTTTCTGCTCATTTTGTGGAAATTGGTAACTGAGCAAAAGGCAGAAACACAAACTAGTGAGAAAGCAAGGGGAAAAGCTGGGAAAATTCAATCTTTGTGTGCTGTGCTTGGCAGCAGGCAGAGGACGGTCAATCAGCATGTGTACATTGCCAGGCAATTAGCATGGGCACAGCTCCAAATCAATCAGTGCATGGCCTGCATCTTGCCCCATGATGACATCCCAGGGAAACAGGGGTAAAGGGAAGCTCAGGCTAATGGAGCCAAAATCGGGCAAGCAAACCCATCTGAGAAAGCAGCAAAACATTGTGGTGCAGCACAGCACAGGCTGATGCAAAAGATAAGTAAAGATGATAGCTGAATTTGGATCGATGGTCTCTAGGAATGAAATCACAACCAATCTTAAATGTGGGAATGAGTGCCCTTCAGGGAGGCCTGAAGTGTTTTGTATGAGCCTCACAGTAATGTAGCCTCAACATAATTTATCTCCTTGGTATGGAACTGTAGCCCAGGCTCAAACCTGTGCTGCCACACCAAGCCTACACCCAGCCAAGCTCCCTCAGCCACCTCCAGGTTGCCCAGAAGTCTGCTGAGTCCTGAGTGCTCGAGTCCTCCTGTTCTCCACTCATCTCTCCTTCTCCATTTCTGTTCTCTTCCAGCTCACAGGTAAAAGCAAGCTTCCAGAATCACAGAACCAGAGAACAGCTTGGGTTGGAAGGGACTTTAAAGTTTATCTCATTCCATCCCCCTGCCATGGGTCAGGGACGCTACCCACCAGATCCCAAGAGCAGTGTTGGCAGCTTTTTCATGGACAGCCCTTTCAAAACTCTGGGTCTGAGGGATTAATGTCACCTCTGCAGGGCGAGTGACTCCTTTTTATGTTTGTTTCTCTTCTACAGATGGCTTTTGTCTTCCTGAGTGGGATGGCATTGTCTGCTGGCCAGAAGGCGTGCCAGGCAAAGTGGTGGCTATGCCATGTCCTGAGTACATCTACGACTTCAATCACAAAGGTAGGTGCTGTCCTCAGCATCAGCACAGCCTGGAAATCTACAGCAAGGCGAGACCTGGTAGTCAGAGAATTAGAAATCCTCTGTAACATGTTTGCTTATCACATGGTGACTCCCATCTATGCAGAGGAGTCAACAAACAAGGAGTAAAGACACATTTTATTTTATTTTATTTTATTATTTTATTTTATTTTATTTTATGTTGAGAGAAAAAGAAAAGCACTATTTTAGCATAAACAATCCCGAATTTCCCACCTGCCAAAGCCAGACTGAAATGGCTAGGAACTACATGTATAACTAGATAGTTGTGGGGGGTTTCAAACCCACATCTCTTTGCTGCAACAAATTTCGTGCAGCAATGGAAATCTACAAGACATCCTCCCGATTTGTATTCTTCACTCCACCAGTTTGTTGCTTCTAACCCCTGCTCTCTGCCCAGACCCCTACGGTGGCTATCTGAGAGCAGCGCTGGTAACCAGAATATGTGAATTCCTCCCTATCTCACTTTCCCTCAGGCAGCACATTTCTTGGCTTGCTTCTGGTGCCACAAAGTCTGTGCATGTTTTTAGAAGCAATTGAAGCACACTCGCCCCTCAGAGTATTTTCAAAGCTAGCGTATTCTCTTTTCTCAGGCAAAGCTGCGCACCCAAAGCCTATGAAATTAGAGAATTAAGATTATATGTTCCCAGCAGAGCACTGCTGCTGTTTTCAGAAAACAAGTAATTATATTTCCACGCACTCTGGTTGCACATAGCCTGCTCTGCCTTTTCTATAAGAGACTGAGCCGAGCCAGTTTAACCCTTGACAGATGTCCTCTCTCGAAGACCCCACACACGTAGATTTCATGTGAGGAGCCAGGAGGAACAGGTGATCCATCCCTTTTTCTTCCACAACCCAGCAGGACATGGATTACCCACCTCATTGGCATCTATTGGTCGAGTCACACAGGGTGGGGGTCATAGAAAGACTCATGGAAGCAGATATCTCTACAAACTGTCCTGTAGTCACTGGACAGATCACAGAATCACAGAATTGTAGGGGTTGGAAGGGACTTGAAGAGACCATCGGGTCCAAAACCCAAAGATGGATCTCTTGATTGGTCTCATCCCCATTAACTGTAATAGGATTTTTTACACACAGCCCATGAAATTGTACCCTACACAGACCTTTGAACATGGATGTTTCCATCTGTAAGCTGAATCCCAAAATTAACTCATGCCTCCTCCCCTTTCCCCATCATCATGAGAAGGGGAGCCATAGAAAACCCTACCTTAAGATGGACTCAATCAGTAAAGTTAAGAGTGGCATAATGAAGATCACTGGTTTGTCTTTGTGGGTTTTGTTTGTTTGTTCTTGTTTTGTTTGTTTTTTTTTGTTTGTTTTTTTTGTTTTTTTTTGTAGAAAGAGTTGCAGCTCTGAGAATGATTTTGTGCTTTGGAACTTCTTGCATTTTCTCCCCTTTGTTTTAGAACCAATATCTTGATCTAAACTAAGTGCAACTTCTTATTAGCTGCCTGGGGTTTCTCAATCAGAAAACTAACGAGGTTGCAAAGGAGATGGAAATTGTGTTCTTGCAGCTGAGCTTCAAAGCTGGCAAGAGGCACTGTGGTTGATGGTATGCACCCTTGGAAGAGGTTCTCCTGCTCTACCAGCCTCATTTACGCTCTCTCTCATTTCTCTCTCCAGGCCACGCTTATCGCCGGTGTGACCTGAATGGAAGCTGGGAGCTGGTCCCAGGCAACAACCGCACCTGGGCAAACTACAGTGAATGTGCCAAGTTCCTCACCAACGAGACAAGGGAAAGGGTAGGCAATTGCATTGGGGCACGGGGCATGGGGTTAGCCCCTCATCCAGGGCTAGCTTAAGGAGCACGGTCTCACTTAAAACCCTTGATGAGCTCTAGTTTACTGCCTCCTGTTGGAGACTGCATCCAAGCTTGCCAAAGCCACATCTTTGTTTTGATGGGAATTAGTAAAGTGGGAAATTGTCCTCAAAGCCAGGAAGGGTTCCCCCAGCTGCCACAATCCCATTTGTAAAGAGACCTTGGGGAAACTTGGAGCAGGCTCAGAAGCACTAATAAGTGGTTAGATGTTGTGTTCCATGTTATTGAGACTCCCTCTTCCCACCAAACAATACTTTTGTTAGTAGATTATTATTAATTATTCCCTTGTGTATGTGCTTGTCTGTGCTAGGGGATGCACAAGCAGAGAGCTAAAACCTGTGTCAATCAAATTATCAGTGATCCTGCTTCTGTAGGTGTCTATCAGAGAACCTCTTGGTGGCAAGGTATAGGCTACAGCATCAGAGGTTTTACATGGTCTGTTCACTGGAGATGGGTGAGGGAAAAGTCCAGTGCTAAAGAACATGAGCATGCGAGAGGAGATCTTGAACTAATTCTGGTGTAATCACAATCCTGAAGCAGAGACACTAGTCCAGAAGTTAGAAAAGAGATTCATAGCACATGGAGAGGGTTTGGTATGCTCCTGGGCAAACATTCAAGTGTATATATATATATGTATACATATATACACACATATCAGATCTGTGGGCATTGTTTTTTCTTACTTTACATTTAGATGACAGGCAAATCAGCAGCTGACATTTCTCACCCCTCTGCCTGGGCCCAGCTGGGTAGTGGTTAGGCAGTGTTTCTGAACTCCTCTCAAGACAAGTGCATTGCAGATGCAATTTTTTTTGGCTGTCAGTGGGGTCACCTGAGAGGGTGTGAGCTTCTTCTTTCACAGAGAAAGACATTTCCACCCTCGTGCAGCTGCTGCTTTATTCACAATTTGTGAAGTATTTAGCAGAAATCTCCGTTTCTCAGTGGTATTTGGGAGATGTCCTCCCTGGATATGGGATATGGCAGTAGGGACTGATCATTTGCAGCAAGGGTTATTTTCAGACAGTTGGAGATAAAGATCTAACCACAAACTTCACGGTGGGGAGCAGGCTTGAAAATGACACACAGTCCCTTTGGGAGAATGTTCTTAATTTTAAATCCAAACAAAGCATAGTTTTTTTTTTTATTTTTTCTTCACCGGTGAAGCAACATTTGAATCACAGATTTGTTGAGGCTGGGACTTCTGGAGGTCATCTGGTCCAAACACCCTCCTTAAGCAGGGTCACCTAGAGCAGATTGCCTCAGACCATGTCCAGACAAACTCTGAATATATCCAAAGATAGAGAATGAAGTTGTCCAGTAAGCAGAGATTATTTCTGCATTTTCATGTGTTGTATCATGCAGTCAAGGAACACACAAGGTTGCATTCACCAGGTGCTGCTCCAGCTATTTAATAGCAAAGTGTGTTTCCTCAGCACTGGAAGACGTTTGTTTTTAGAACAGTTTTAGCAGGACATGTCTCCTCCCAGTACATGTGGAGGGAAGAGCTATTTTAGCCCTAGAGGTTTCTGAGAAGTTTCTGGAGTTATTGAGCACCTCACTCAGAGTTTTACGAGGTCACATCAGATCCTTGGCATTTCATCTCCCTTTTCTCATCACTCTCAGCCATGTCTTGTGGTGGGAGTCATCTCCTGCAGACCTCTCCATCTGAGCAGGTCTCCTAGATTTCCCCCATGGAAAGGAAGCCGTTTCTTTTAAACCTCTCATTTTGAAGTGGGGGAGACTTAGTCATGGTAAAGCGAAGGGTACAAAGGGTACAAAGAAGAGAGAGTTGTCCATTTCTTACCGGCACATGGGAGAAATAGAGATCTTCTGCTCCTAGGCTGGAAAAAAAAATACTAAAAAAAAAAAAATCTCTTTCCCTGGATTTCATGTATTTGTCTGTCCCCTCAGCGCAAAGGTGGTCAGTTCACAGATGAGGCACTTGGGCAGTGCTTCCTACCAGAGAAACATTAGATGAGAGGTCACGTTGCATTTTTGTTCACTGCTCTGCCCCTACTTGAAAAAATTACTCCTCCTTCTGACCTCTACTTTTATGAACTGTTTTAATTAAACCTTCCCGAGAACCTTATTATCATCATTATTCTGTTCACAAGGCTCCGTCATCTTTTGCCATTACTTTTTTGCTCCAGCTACACAGAGATGGATATGATGGTATTTAATGACAACGCAAATTAGCCCACCTTCATCGTTCAGATTACTTGGACAGTTTGGTACTGCCTAAGTGATGTCTGCCCAGGCCAAAGAGCATTAGGAATAATGGAAACTTCTCCCAGCTTTTGAACTGAATTTTGATTACGACAAGCCTTTCAACAACACTTTTTATTCATGATTATTATTATTAACCTTGTATTTGCATGAGGCCACTGCCCAGCCCTGCACTCACCTCACAGTGATGCTGCATGCTGTTGTGTAGTTGCCCCAAGCTGCATTTTAGTAACAAGTGAAGCAATGCATATACATCCACTGGGCCTTACGGTATGAAAAGCACTGTGAAAATAAAATAAATAATAATAAAAAAAAAGGAACAACCCTCTTTTTTTTTTTTTTCTTGGTTGGGGGATGACTTTCAGAATGCAGGGAAGGGCTCTTGTTTTTCACACCCAAGCATGGCTCTGAAGCACTGGTATTAATAAACCTTCCTTTGATTTTTTTTTCTTGAAGTAAATATGTCAAGAGATGTCAGAATCAGGGAATTTGGCAATATAGTCTAGTCGTCTTTAGAGAGAGATTGTTTTCTATTATTATTTCCCCCCCTGGGGAACAGCATCTTTGCGTCACCAGTAACAGCTGCATTTAACCAACATTTTGAAAGGAGATCAAAATACTCAGATGTTGTCCTACTACTCCGAGTAGGACAGCATCTGAGCAGATGTAACCAGAGAAAATTTTAAGAAGCCGTGCATTAGAAAGCATTAGGAAAAAAATGTCTGTCTGCAACTATCTAAATATATCTGCATTGCTGTCCCTAGAAATAGGCCTATAGCCATAGATAGCTCTATATACAGATACACAGCCCTAAATAAACACCCACGTCCATCTACACATACACATATATATGTCCATGCGTGTTTGTTTAGGTGTGTACTTTTCTCATTTTAGCCACTGTGGGATAATTATAAGATTGACCAAAGCAGTATACAGAGAGCCCCAAAGAAAGTTTGTGTCTCTCGCTGCCTTTTCCTGAACCATATAAATAGGATTATTTCACACAGAGCAGCAAGGAAACTGCTTTCTGAAATTAGCAAAGTATGCTAAAGCCATCAGAGCCGGGAGAATTAACAGCTCGTAACTGCCCAGTGAGCAATTGCTCTTGGGCTGTTTTCTAAGGGAAAATTAGCGCTGCTGAAGGACGCCGGATTGACAGCCCAGATTGATGTCCCCTCTTTCGCCAGGGGAGCAGGTAGGCTGCAGCTGGCTGTTGGAGCGTGTCTCCCCAAATACCTTGCAGGTGGCATCAATCTTACCACCAAGACCCATCTCTCAGATATGGTCTGCAGAAGGCAGGAGTTCAGTGAGGGATGGGAAGGAGTTTCAGAGGAAGGTGTCCTAGCAGCACACCACAGGAAGATAAGATGGATTTCTTTTTGATGAAACCCATCTCTCCGCCACGGGCTGCTTCCTTGAACTCTCATATTCTGCTTTTAATACAACCTTTCACCAGTGTAGCAGAGGCAGGAGAAATCTTATTTTCCAATAATCTTATTTCCCTGTTTTTCCCAAGCTCTTTCCCCAAGAGCTGTGCATGGCCATCCCCCATCCCAATTTCACTCTGGCTTTTCCAGAGGTCTCCTTGCCTCTGAACGGAGATCTGTGGCCTCCCACCCCAGCACCCTGAGCAGGCAACCCTGCTTTGTTTATTTTCCTTCCAGTGTTTAGAGAGAGACAGGAGGACGAGGGAAGGGAGGGGAACAGATTGGCCGGTGTTCCCTCTTTGAGGAAGGCGGTGTGGTTAAACACCAGCTGTTTGTCTGTCTGCTGTGCTTCATGTCACTGAGCCACAGGCTGCTGAACATCAGGAGAGGGTATTCAGCACTGCTGTATAATCACTGGATGGATCGTTGGATACTATATATACACATAGGTGCATACATATATTTATCTATATTTGTTCAGTTCTCACACTTTTCTCTAGTTTTCAGCTCCTACACAGGGAGGAGACAGGAACCAGGGCTCGAAGGACCTTTGGCTGCTCTCCTTAATGTTTTCTTGGGTTCCCTTAACAATCTGTCTTCTCAGAGCTCCTCAGGCTTTGGATAAAATGCAGCACATGTGGGAAGTCCTGGTGAGGCCCTGGCATTAGCAGGCAGCATTTAAGGCAACATCTCTCTGAGGAGCATAATAACACTTAAACCATGGACCTCTTCCCTTTCACGCAGCCAGCCAACAGCAGCACCTTCAGCACGGTCACTTTTCAGTTCACCTTTTCAGACATTGGCAGAAGAAATGGTATATTTTGCTCACTAAGCAGAAATTTCCTCCATTTCCATCTCCCCCCCCAAAAAAACACTTATGCCAAACACGTTTTTTTTTTGAAAATGGGACAAACCCATCCTGTTTTCAAGGATGAGCTTAAGGGTAAATGTGACATCTACTGAAATCGTGGGGAAGGGGAATATGTGCCAGCTACTTGGGAGGTTAGCTCAGCTTGGAAACCACCAGCCTAGCAAGACGGACCATCCTAAGACCAAACCTCAGCCCACCAATCCCGTCTTCCTCTCCTACTGCTTGTTTATATCATGGTGGTTTTACTGCTCCCAGAGAAATCAGAGAGGCCTCGGGAACCCCATCACATACCAAACACAATAGGAAAGGCACAGCATGGTCCAGGGCTGCTTTATCTAAACTCCATTGTTCAGACCAAAGATCTTGTATGCCTGGCCTTTGTTCTTGGAGCCCTCTGGG